AAGATCGGCAAGTTATCATTAACTGGGTGCCCAGTCATATCGGAATCCCAGGGAATGAACGAGCTAATGCTGCTGCCAAGGCTGCGTTAGAAGAGCGAAACATTGAGATGAACATCCCGCTCAGTCAAGAGCAGAAAAAGAAGACAACAATAAAACAAACTGCCCAGTGGAAAATAGAGAAACACAGAAGGTTAACAACAGTATCACGATCGGCCAGGTGGTACTATCTGGTCACGAACTATGAGAGACCACTACTCATGAAGGATATAACAAGAAGGGAAGAAGTCAACTTCCACCGACTGAGACTGGGATACCCATGCATTTGGGAAATAATTGTAACAACACCAGCAGAGCAGCGCATATGCAAGACAGCGGAGCAGAAAACACACTGAAGCACTACCTCATAGAGTACCCTGGAACACAATTAGCTAGGAGAAACATACAAACCCCTATCACAGCAGAGAAGGTTGCCAGAAAGCTAACCACCAACTACTGTCAAGAAACCCTACAGTTTCTTACCGAGCATCACCCCCCACACTGGGAGATGTGCACTTAACCAAAAAGACGCTGGTGTTTTATCCCAGCTGTGGGTGGACCAGCCTTTTAGCTTAAGGTCCGCTTAGGTAATATTCCTACAAATCTCTAAAAAAAAAAAAAAATCCACTGAGATTCATTCTGGCCTACGTTCCTGAACACGCAACACCTCCTCCAAGCAAGCTCCTCGCTGTCCAGCCCTCATTCAACATGGAGGACAGCAACACGCAACATCTCCTTTAACGAAGCTCCTGCACAGATACTTCTTCAAGCACGCTACTCACTGAACGTATCTTCCAAGCAAGCTCCTCACCACACGGCATCACCAGCACCAGACTGTCTTGTATACAATATATTTTATATAAGAAAACCGCCATCTAGAGTTTCTATCCATCCATCCTGAGTGCTAGACAACATAATATCACGAACCCTACAACAGGATGGAATCTCTTCTAAGATTAATGATCTTTCTGCTCTATGGGAATTAGATCACATTGGAATAAAGTCCCGAGAAACTGACACGGAAAACTGTAGAAAGTTTCTGGAAAACTACATGGAGTTTGACAAGATGACCGTCTACATCTCTATTGACTACAATGAGCTCATTGAAATAGGCACATATTGTGTTGCCTATTAAATCACCAAACTAAGTGTTGATCATCCTTTGATGAATTAATGGCGCATTTCGAAGGCCGATAGGCAGACGTAACAATTCAAAATGGCCCAAAGGAGTGCTAAAAACAGTATTATCTTTAAATAAAGACTGCAGTATATCGCTTAGAACAGGCATTGGGTACGTATCTGGGAAAGTTTCTTCGTTGACTCGCCGAAAATCAATGACTAATGGCCAACTTCCATCCTTCTTAGGGACTAAAAACCATGCGATTTGCTTGTAAAGCTATTGATTGATTCATTGATGGATACTGCTACTTGTGGAAACCAGTCCTCCTATGAACTGTGCGTCGGATTCACCATGTGTCGGAGAATCTCAAGATTTTTACGATTTTTACGCTCGACCAACCCATTTGAGGATGAATGGTAGGCAGTTGTGAAGGTTTGTGTGATGTCGTATTGTTGACATATTGCTTGGAGTAGGGTACTAGCTCCTGTAGGGTCAGATCCCAGCGCGCTAGACTCCCTGATAAGATCTTCCCATGAAAAAAATAGTTCTGTCACGGCTACATGATCTGTGTGGACGGTGATCGGATATCCGATAATGAGATCCCAAAAATGCTTGGAGACCACACTACAGCTAATGCTTCCTAGTGAGTAGCTGAATAACGTGTTTCTGCATCGTTGAGGGAGCGACTGGCGTATTCTATTACACGCATTACACGCCACTTCCCTCGATGTTCAGTTTGCATGAGCACAGCCCCTAGCCCTAGGTCGGAGGCATTGGTGCACTTGGTAATTGGTTTGGTGTAGTCCGGAAAGGCTAACATCGGAGCATTCGTTGAGGCGCCCTAGAGGGCATTAAAACTGTCTTCTTGGTGTAGCCTTCAATGAAAGAACGGTAATACCAAGGAAACTGCTTCACCGCCTATACCTTACAATCTACTGTGTGCATACCGTTGCCATCCACTACGTGTCCAAAAAATTAGATTCTGGATATAATTTATTCACATTTGGAAAGTTTCACTTTCATTCCAGCTATTTTAGCTTTGAAAAGAATTCTCGTAGTTTCTTTAAATGGTGTTGTAAATATTTGCCTACTATGATAAGATCATCTAGATAGGCATAGACTGTGTTTCCTATCACTTCAGCAAACAAGATATTTATCATTCTTTGGAATATTGGCGGCGGATTCCTCAAACCAATGGCATTCATAAGAATTCGAAATGTCCCATTGGAGTACTGAACGCAGTTACCTCGAGGGATTCCTTATGTAAGGGGATTTGCTAGTACCCGCTAAGCAAATCTGGGTTACTGAAGACTGAGTTGTCTTTTCCTTAGAGACTATAGTAAGTCAGTTAGGACAGGCATTGGGAACCTGTCTGGTACAGTTGCTTGGCTGATGCTTCAGAAATCAATGACTGGTCTCCCTCCTCCATCTTTCTTGGGAACTAGGAATAGAGGTGAGTTCCATTTGGGGTAGCCTATATGCTGGTATGTAGATCTGGTGAGTGTCCGGCTTGAGTGGAATGTGATGGTTTGTCAACGTTGTTTTACCTAGGGGTTCTCCAGGTGATGATATGATTTCCTTGAACTCGGCAAATAATTCTAAAAAAAACATGTTTGCCTTGCGGATGATCAAATACTTTTACGTGTGGCATATTTAACTCTACTGTTTTCAATACGTGGTTTTTCGGTCGATTCCCCTTGTGTTATACTACCTATCGGTAAACCTATTGATTCTGTGACGACTGCTTTGTCGTAAACAAGGAAATTACCCAAACAACATCCCTTTCGTAAAGTTATTGGTCCCCCCAGTTCTACTGTATTGAGAACAAGGACATCTGTGAGACTACCTAATCTAACTGTGCTTAAGGTAGACTCAAGTGACAAGCCTTTCATCCGTGGACTTTCACTTAGACACACAACTTCTGTTCCTTCACTCACATTTTGCAAACGTACTGTGACTCTAGTTAGTTCCTGGCTATGTAACCGTTTTACACCAGTTAACATAGCAGGCGTTAGAATCCAGTTCTTGCAGCTTTCATCACAAATGTCCTTTAAGCTAGTCGGTGGAGTTTCAGGGAGTGACTCTTTAACTATTTGCTTCTGTGTGGTAGATTCCCCCATGCCTGTCGAGGCAGTTATTTCACGAACACCCTAGGTAAGCACTAGATGTGAAGTTTGCATTGCGTATTAAGTTTTACAGTTATGCGTTACGGTGTGATTTCTTGGCTCAACGTTAATGTTGTTCTGCTTTAGTGTGGAAAGACCGATTAACCCATCTGCTATGTAGAAATTCGCCAGAAAAGCTTTACTGGACCTAGAAAAACGGATTGGCAGAGTTATAACCCCCGCCATGTCTAATTGGATTCCTGACACACCGGACAGGGGAATGTCTGTAGGTTTTATTGGCCACTTATTAGGAGGTTATCGTCGCTTGAGTTCATTGAACGACGCAAATGAGATAACATTGGCTGAGGCTCCGGTATCTGTCTAGGGAAAACTGATTATTACCTATCCTCGCCTGTACAGTCAAAACCCCCACTTTGTTTAACGAGGCGATTAATGAGCCTGTGATGGAAGCGTTGTTTTCTTGCACCGTTGACGCTATCCCAGATCGTGTATTATGGTAAGGGGACTCATGTAATACACACCATTTAATCGGAGTGCCCTTTGTATTTGTGAGCATTCTATTTGCTGTGTAGTGTCCTTATGAACTTTTTGGTTGATTAGAATACTCTGGATTTTTAGAGTCCAGGGAGGATCCTTTTCCTTGATCTTGCCACGGGCTAGATGAGTTTTTGTCCTTTTGTCTTCCAAACCAGCAATTAACTGTGGCATGTCCCTTACGTTTTCAGATTTTGGAAAAATGTGCCTTTTTGGAATTGGTTCCTGTGGTAGTTTGTGGTTGTTCCTAAGAACTGGTTACAGGTGCTACCGACAGAGCCCCAGGAATAGTTTCCACCGGCTCAGAAATTTCCTCCAAGTAATATACAAGCTTAGTCCCTAGTTTATATTCCTTCTCTCTGGCTGCCCTGCATGTAGTTTCATGTAGCACCATGATATACTGTTGGAAGTCAATGATTTTATATAAATTTTCCTTAGTTAATTTTCCTTCGTCATCAAACCAATTTGAGGATGTTATGTAAGTTTTGAGATCCATCATAGTGTGTCCGGCTATAGCCGGTGCTTCTTGTGCGTCATGAGCAAACACAATGGTCCTTGTACGCTCTACCATCTTGAAAATCCAATTAAGCGCGGCTCCTTTTGTTCCTGACCCGAAAAAGGATATGAAATGTTTCCTAAACGTTTTATAGTCAAGGGTTTCATCATGAAAAGTTGAAGCGTACATCATTAATTTTTATCTGCCCGACTACCGGTTTTGACGTTGTTTCGGACGTAAGAGATTTATCCCCATCGATAGTAACATTATTGTTTCGCATTACATCTTCTCACTTACGCAGAAATGTTAAGGCATTAATATCTAAGTTATGACAGCTGTTGACTGAGTTATGGCAGCTTTTGGCCTGAGTTATGGCAGCTGTTGACCTTTGTTATGGCAGCTGTTGACCTAAAATGGTAATTTCTATTACGTCATCTTACAACTACAGTATTATTGGTCACCCACAATGCATCTCACTCTTTATATTCTGCCGGCTTTTACTGGCAAATAACTGAATCAATAAATGTATCTAAAGTATCCTGGTGTAGAATAAGTGAATCTTAAGTATCCTTTTATAGAATGATTAGTAAATCTAAAGTATTCTTATGTAGAATGATAATTTGAATCTACGTCAACTATACTGCATTTGAATTATATATTAATTCTTAGAATCTACTTTTGTTCACAGATTGTGTTCACGTTTGGATGGGAAGACCGCCGACGATGTTTCTAATTTGTTCTCCTACCTTGCGGCCAACGTGGAGTATGTGGTGCAGTACAACAAGGACAACCGAGCCTTTGAGGGCGTGAAGGGGACTAACATCACTGTGGATACAATATGTGACATTATGATGAACGGGGAAGGTGATCCTATAGACAGGTATGACACAACAACCACTGAAACTTGGTTTTCGTTTTTTCTCATTTAGAATCTTGATTTCAACAGAGTAATGGAATTGTTATTGAGTTTCAGTACCACGTGGATGGTATTATATTTTAATGCGTATACACCAGGGTCCACAAAACCAGGCATGTACTTTACATAGCGTATACACATGATAATTTTGAAAATACCCTCACATAAATTTTTGTAATGTGTGAATTACTTTCGAATTTTTTCCAACATTTTATTATTATGTTGCCAGATATGCAGAAGCCAACTCTTTGATTTTAGATGAATATGGAGAGTTGTGTTTAGATCACACTTATGACGCCATGATAAAACAACTTCAAGTTACTAGCTGGGGAGATGACGAAGCAATGGCAGGTACGTCCAGTTATAAATACAAGGTGCCTCAAAAAATTTGAACACACTGGCATTTATACTTTATAAGAGATCGCCCGAATGTTTGTACTTCAACAGCAACATTATCCCCACTAGATGGTGTGCGAGGCCTTCAACCAAACAAGTGAGGACGATGTTGCGCTGTTGTAATACAGATATTCAAATGATATAATTATACGAAAAAAAAAGATATATATATATATATATATATATATATATATATATATATATATATATATATATATATATATATATATATATATATATATACTTTTTTTTGAGACACCTGTCTTGTTGTAGATCTCGCATACCAACTAGTGGGGATAATGTTGCTGCCCGTGATTGTGTCTGTGTGTCTTTCTTTGCGTCTGTTCCAGTCATAGCTCCAAAGCGAAAGAAGTTACAGACCTGAAACTTTACACACATGGGTCACAGGGTTGTGCACCTTGGCAAGAACTATAAATCTTCCCCGATTTGTTTATGAGATAAAGAGCAAATTTTGTGTATGAAATTGAATGATGCTGTTCTAAAGAACATGTTAAAAACATAAACAGACTGTCTGAGCAAGTGAACGACATGGCCAGAGCCTCTCCTTCAGTGACTAAGCGTCAGATACATCAAGTACACAAATTTCAGTACTTTATCGAAGAGTGCATTCCTTTCGAACAAGACAATGAACGACCTGCTGGTGAACATAGTCACACAGGCAGTTATGTCAGAAGTTAAAGTTGACATACTCCTTATAGTGATGAAGCTGGGAGAAAAGGCTACGATAATTTTATTATGACACACATAGTGGGCCCAATTTATCCTTGGCAGAAGATGAAAAGGCCGAGTTGGAAATCAGCCTCAGAGACGACAAGAGTTAAGTTACCCATTCATGTTGTTTAACTCTAGTAAAATTGATCACTCATCGTATAAGTGTTCATTATTGTGAGATCTGGGTCAGGTATTAAAATAAACCTCCCGTCAGCTGTTGGAACATACGAGTTTAGCCGCATGGTGGGTTCACTATTTGCCTGTCTGAACAAGTGCAAACTCATGGCTATCTTAGAAGCTTCCATACCAGAGAACACTAAACCAAGGCATTTCAGTACTGTTGAAGATGGATTCACTGAGCGAGGCAACCAATAGTTGTCAATTTTGAATATTTCTTTTTCATTATACTATAATTATACAGGATTTTTTAATTTTGAATTATCTTCATTGCCATTCATACAATGTACTAATTAGGTTTTATATAATTAACTTAAGATTTAACTTTTCCTACATATTTACAAAATTACTTCTAAATGCGACAATATGGGTAGTGGTATGATTCATGCGTCCATGTTCTGGCTCCACTTTCACTGTGCTACAGCTCATGACAGGTAATATAACACCTTTTCTGCCCTCCATTGTATCATGGGTCGCTATACAATTAAATGGGGAAACTCAAGAAGAATATCAGAAATTAAAAGCAAAGGTGACGGTGGCAGAAGGATGCAGCCCACTGATAAGAGGGATATAATGATAATGAGTGAATATTGTGTCAACAAATGATACCTGTTATGTTGACTATAATAGTAAACCATTACATGTTTTTTTTTTTTTGTTTTTTTACGGGGATTAGCTCACCCGGGCACAGGTCACTGACCCACATCGAGGCCTAAGGGGCGAAAATGTAATAATAAAATCAATAATAATAATAACAACACTGATAATAATAATAATAATAATAATAATAATAATAATAATAATAATAATAATAACAATAATAATAATAATAATAAAGAACAATAAAGAAATAAAAAACATTAAAAAAGATCAATAGTGAGAAACGATATATGTATGTTGTGTTGTCAAAGTAAGAGAAACAATTGAGACCCTTCAATTGTGTGTAAATGTGGCAGAAAGTCAGATCAGCAACCTGGTACTTGGTCACAATTTTCGCGATGCCATATGGCAGCAGGGTCTACCATTAGACAGCACATTATGCTTCCAATATCTTACCAGGAAGTAGTACCTCCCTGTTTGATAGTAGCCTACTACCTAGTACATTTATACCGAAACGTGGTTTAATATCTCCCAAATTACATGGACATTACAATAGTGTCTTACTGTACCAATAAACAGAACACCAACAATAGCAAAGTTTTCTTTGCTACGTGTTATACTCACTCACTTGATATGCTACTTGCCTATTTCGGTCTAGTAGTACCACTGTTGATGCACTATGTCGGTCCAGGCTTTAGTACTACTACACATGCATATGTGCACACAAGATACACTATTCATAAATGTTTAAATAATGTTGATAGATGTATAGACATTAAGTTATCCTGATAATGTTTATAGAAGGATGAACTGTTTCATGGTGCAGGTCGTCTCTGGGTGTATCAGACGTGCACGGAGTACGGGTACTATCAGAGTTCAGACTCACCAAACCAGCCATTTGGAGACAAGTTTCCCGTCGAGTTCTTCATCAAACAATGTGCGGATATTTATGGCCCCAAGTAAGTAATACAATATAATTATTGTTATTATACGTTAAATATTACCCAGAGTAAGGAATATTATCATTATTATTATCACTCGTCAAATAACAACTAATTCTATTATTATCACTCATTAAATATTACCTAAATAAAGTACCCGGTAGTATTGTCATCATTATTGTTAATACTTGTTAAATATTACCAAAAATCTGTGATATCTTTATTATTTTTTATTTACTCTTCAGTCAGGTGCTTGTGGAAGAAGTTTTGGTTGTCTTCTCCGCCTGATTCATAGGTGGTCAAACCCACAGGTGCCTAAGTGTAAATATACCCAAATCGGCCCAAGCGTAAAGATAAGAACATAAGAACATAAGAAAATAAGGAGTCTGCAATTGGCCGGTTGGCTTGTGCATGGCAGCTCCTGTCGAGAGTTACTACCACTCTCTATCATCCATGAATCTATCTAGCTTCCTTTTAAAACTTTCCAGCGTTCCAGCACTTACTAGAAAGTTGTTAAGCTTGTTCCACTCGTCCACCACCCTATTTGTAAACCAGTTTCTTCCTATCTCCCTCCTAAACCTAAACTTATCCAACTTGAATCCATTGCTCCGAGTCCTACCCTGCTCGGATATTATAAGAACTTTATCTATATCCCCTTTATTGATTCCTTTCACCCACTTAAATACTTCTATCATATCTCCCCACACTCTTTGTCATTCTTCGCTGCACCGACTCCAGTGAATTGATATCCATTCTATAATAAGGGCACCAGAACTTAACCCATAATCTAGGTGCGGCCTGACTAGCTCAAGATATAGTTGCAATAAGACCTCTGCACTCTTATTACTTACACTTCTAGATATAAAACCTAATACTCTGTTTGCCTAATTTCGAACATTAACGCACTGTTTTCTAGGCCATAGGTCCGGGCTTACAAGTACCCCTAAGTCTCATTCACAAGTCGACTTCTCTAGGTTGATGTTGTTAAGGCTGTATACATTAACAGTATTTTTTCTTCCAATATTAAGTACGCTGCACTTGCTGGTGTTGAATTTCATTTGCCATTTTTCTGACCACCCCTGCAGTTTATTTAAATCCACCTGTAGTGCATTTGCATCCTGCCCTGAATTAATCTGCCGCCCTATTTTGGTGTCATCCGCAAACTTGCTTATGTCACTGCTGATCCCAGTATCTAGATTGTTTGTGTAGATTATGAACAAGAGTGGGCTTAGTACTGACCCCTGGGGAACCCCACTGGTTACACAGCCCCACTCAGATTTAACACCATCTACTCTGACCCTCTGCGTTTTATTGGTGAGCCATGATTTTATCCAATTTGAGACTTTCCCCTCGATACCATGAGCCTTAACTTTTCTCAGAAGCCTCTGCTGCGGTACTCTGTCAAATGCTTTGCTAAAGTCTAAGTAAATAACATCGTAATTTTCGTACTTATCTACTACCTCGAAGACTTTCCTAAAAAACGTTAGCAGATTTGTTAGACAAGATTTTCCCTTTGTAAACCCATGCTGAGAGTCGTAGGTTAATTTGAAATATCAGTTTCACCTCTGGAATTTCCTTGCAAGTTTCTTCTGTGAAAACTGATAAAAAGTAGCTGTTCAATGCTTTGCTTATTTCTTCACTGCCATTGATCACTTGCCCCCTTCCTGACTTTAAAGGCCCAACTTTGTCCTTGACCTTTGTTCTATATACCTGGAAAAATTCCTTGGGATTCGCCTTGGATTCTCTTGCTATTCTGATTTCATAGTCTCTCTTTGCTTTCCTTAAATTTTTCTTAACATTCCTAGATAGTTCATAATACCTAATTCTGAGCTGCTCCTCCCCTCCCTTTAATTTCTTATAAATTCCTTTCTTTATTCCTATGTCATATTTAATTTTTCTGGTCATCCACCTTGGCTCATTCTTATTTGACTGAATTTTTCTGCATGGTATATTTTGTTCTTGTGCTTTACGTAGTTTACTAGTGAATATATTATAGTCATGGTCAATTGTTGTGTCATCTGTGGCCTCACCCCTTCCTTCTGGGGACTGACCTGACTGTTCCCAGGTGACCTCACCTAGGTACCTTCTTAACCCCTGATAATCCGCCAACCGAAAGTTTGGGATGCTGACCATATTGTCATTGTTTTTCGTTTCCCAATTTAGGGTGAACCTGATTTCTCTGTGATTACTGTTACCTAGTTCTTCCCCTATTGTGATATCTCTGATAATATTTTCTTTATTTGTTAATACTAGGTCTAATATATTGTCACCTCTAGTAGGTTCTGTAATTAGTTGTTTCAAAAAATTGTCGTGTACTGCATCTTGGAAGTCTTCAGATTCATAGTCACCTACAATGTTGTCCCAGTCATAGCCTTAGGTGTCCAGATGTAAACTTACCCACAAGTGCCCAGTTGTAAACATCGCCATAACTGCCCAGGGGTAAACATACCCAAAAGTGCCCATGTGTAAAATACCCACATGTTCCCCGGAGTAAACATAACCACAGGTACTATCTAAAAATTCCATTCTATTTTTACAGTTTCAGACATTTTACACGATAATGTTTACACATTAAGACATTTTATATGATAATGTTTACACTTCAAGACATTTTACACGATATTGTTTACACTTTAAGACATCTTACAGAATAATGTTTACACTTGAAGACCTTTTACAGGACATTGTTCTTACCTTATCTTGTGTACAGGTTCGACTTAAGTCTCCTAGAGGCAGGTGTCAAGAGAACAAACACAATCTTCGGTGGACGTGACCTGAATGTGACAAGAGTCGTCTTTCCTAACGGCTCTATCGACCCCTGGCACGCCCTGGGCATTACTTCCGACCTCAACCCTGATGCCCCAGCCATTTATATTAATGGTAAGTTATAAATTATATCCATCAAAGTCGTATTTCATATCCTCGTGTTTTTAGTTGTGTCTGGGCATGTACACGTTGAGATGAGTAAATTTAGAGACTAGAGGGACAATTGCCAGGAATCATAACTGGTACATCAGTTGGGACAGTTTGTTAGAGTGGCACATGTGTGTTTGTTTATATTGTATTTTGTCGATATGAATGGGCTGGCGCAACCCCATCAAAATAGTCATATCACAGTGTTTGAGATTCCCCCTACATCTATAATAGTTGGTATACAATTTCTGTCTATACATGTGATATTCAGATTACCAAATATAACGTCAGTGCCTGTAGTAAATTTTTGTCGGGTAGTGACGTGTGTTGACGATTTCGCTAACTGTGCGGGGACCTGGTCGAAGCTAGATGGGGCTGAGGTAAACGGCTGCACCAGTGAGTAGAAATCATGTCAAAATAAAATGAAACGATTACGTCAAAGACGTGATGTCCAGCAGTATTGATATAAGTAACCGTAATCACACACTGATTTCCCTAATATTATACACAAGTTAAACAGACTTGGCGCAAAGTCTGGTAAACAGCTTTATTGGAACACTGTATCACAATGTGTGTATATTGAGTCTAGGCTTGCTTACCTATTCTCTCCTCACTATATTTCCCTGACATGTTGGTGTAGTATGTCGTAATAGACCACAGGATATGCTTTTCATACGAACACCCGAGTGTCACGTAGCATATGTGTATTGATGTCTACCTGCTAGAACATAGTAGACAGTTGCTGGGTAGTAACAAACACATCCATATTAGTTACTATATAATAAGTTCATCAGTTGAAATAACCATACATGCACTTTTGAACCATGAAAAAATAAATCAGTAGGTGCTATTTCCTAGTGAACAACACTTAGCTACCCAGACACACAACACCTCCACCCCCGGTCTTTCCCCGGCGCCATGAACCTCACACTCTCTAAGCCAGTGGTTCTCAACCTTGTTTGCCCCATGCACCCCTTTCACCATATGTCAGAATGTCACTCCCCCCTCCTTTCCAAGATTGTCTGCCTCAAAAAGTGCATTCCAAATAATATGCATATAATACTGAAAATCCTTTATTTTTTCCATATTAGTGCATATACATTTACAATTTTACATGGATTATTTTTATAGTGGAGTTTTACAAATTAAATGCCAATTGAAAATGTTGATGGATTTATAAAACTTGAATAAAAGTAAAATAGTTTTTTTTTATTTATAATGAATTACTTAACAGACCAAACTGAATCATAATGCAATAAACAAAAAGTTCAATAGAATACCAGGATATTGTAAATTTGTAATTAATTTTATTCAGATGAAGATTACAGTCAATGAGAAACCTGTGATTGTTTTTTCTTCGCCAATTCTGGGATACGCGGAGGAGTGCTTGAAAGGGCACAACGCAGGTCATTTTCTACCTCTAATCTACTACGTTGCTTCGTTTTAATTTGCAACAGAGTTGAAAAGCCTGACTCACAAAGATATGTCGACACAAACGGAAGCAATGCACGGATAGCTCTTTCTGCCACTTTTGGGTAGGAATCGCACATCAAGGGCCAAAATTCTGTGATTGATTTCTCATCTAACATATCTCTTGCTCCCGAATCAGTTTTCCCCCCCCCCCTGAAAACCTGAATTCCCCCCCTGGGGGGAATTCCACCCTGGTTGAGAACCCCTGCTCTAAGCCTTCCATCAACACTGCCTCGCTATCAGCAGCTCATAGATCGCACAAGGTGGAATTAACGTCCTATCTTATCAATGACAATTTAATTTGTTGTAAAATAACATCATAACAACATGTTTCTGGACCAATGTCTTATAAGGCAGACATTATAACAACATTCCACCACGGCCGTGTTCCCACCGGGCACGCACACAGGGCACACACAATTATTGATTGAGCTATTTGGATACTTCAGCCATTAACTTAAGGTTGGCAACGAGGATGTGCTGTTTGGGCTGTGGTTTGATATCGAACTATCTCACTTGTTAACATTTGCCTGAATGAGTGTAGGGTAGTCTCTGGTAACTTTGACGAAGCTGGGTGAGATATTAGGTAATCTCACTGAGTGTCTTCTTTGATACAGTCATAGATTGGTTGATAGTTGAAATCGTCACAGCCGCCCTGGGTTGCACTTGTAATTATCTTAGCTTGTAAGTTACACAAGTGCACAAAGGTTCTGTTATCTTCACTTGTTGTTCCTTGGTTTAATGTAAATACACTTGGTGATTTTCTAGTTATATTGGATAGTCTGGTAGTTACAAGGTTGTTTGTTGACAGACTACTGAGCATTGGCTATTAGCTTGTAATTAGCTGATATAATTAGAGAGAGGTACAGTCTGGGGGAGCTAAGCACACAACACGTCTCTTTGGTAAGGTGTCTGGCTGTGTACTGGTGAACTTTGGGAAACTGTGTGAACTAGATGACCTCTCTTCGTCTGGTTGTTGGGGAGGTAATCTATACGTCAACACAGACATTAAATCTACACAGGCCTACTCTCACACGGAGGGCTGAGAAGATTTATGGGTTGTAACCCGAGTTTGTGTGAAACAAACAAACTGTTCATCTTAGGAGGGGTGACAGAACAAGCTCAGTGTAGTTGTATGCTCAATAGTCTGGGTGATAGAATGTATATAATGAATATATGTCCTTAGCACATATTTATATAATATTAATTGATAGAGGTTAGAACAGTGTTGCAAGTGAAGTATATCGAGACATCAGAGAGTTGACAGAATCTCTGAGGGTAAGAACTTTGGCAGAATCAGGAATAGTAGAGGTGATAGGTGGTGTGGTGTCCTGCGGCAAAAATGCTGGTGCACTTAGACCCGCCAGAGGTACATAAGGCAGCGGTGGTGGAGAGGCTAGGCGCTTGTGGTAGAAGCGGTACCGCTCTTGCCTCGCAAGCAAGATGTCACGGGTTCGATTCCCGGACAATCGGAAGTTGTTTGGACACTCTTCTTAGCCCCCTTGGTCCCTGTTCACCTAGCAGCAAAGTAGGTACCTGTTGTAAATCGAAAGGTTGCGAATTCGTATTCAGGGAAAGTTGTTGGAGCTTCTAAACTTGAACTGACACAATCCGGAGGAGTGGTGACCCGAGGATCACACACCCAACACAGACAAAAAACCAAATACGTGCGCTATGTGCTAACCAAATAAATGCAGTCGTGTAAAGCCACGGCACTATCTCTCCCACTACAATTCCCTTCCTAACCTCCTGCTCCTTCCTCTGTCATCTTCCCCGCTCTGCCTTTCGCTTCCAACATCTTTTGGAGCTTCTAAACTTGAACAGAGGCTAGAGCGGCGGACTGGCGTCTGAAGCAACCATGCCAGACATCGACTCCTCGGTCATGACAGCAAGGACATCTAATTTCCAGTGAGAGGTATCTGACGCAGACAAGGGAGATCGTCCCAAGGTATAGGCAATAGGCATCGGAGGTAGTGGGCGATGAAGGAATCCGGTGAGAGTATGCACGGGAGTCTTGGGCCTCAGCACACCAGGCATATTTCATTGGAGAAGTATCGGGATATATGACTGATTCCCCAGCACTTCAAGCACCATGGTTGTTTGGCCTAGTTCAAAGGAATGGAGACGGAAAGAAACTGAAGACGATAGCTGGCGGGGGAGGGACTGGGATACTTCAGACGACAACAAGCCGGTTGATGAGTTTTCCATTCTGATGGAAACGATGAACAGAGTGGAAACCGGGAATTTCGTTAGCAATTTACGGGACCTGTCAGGTGAATCCTGAATGTTGATTTCCTGGTTATTATCATCAAACGAATCCTGGCGATTTCTTTCGATCTAGCTGAGGGTCTCGCTGCAGGTTTTTGTGATGACAACGTCGAGGATACCCCATTATTTTTACTTTTATCCTCTTCGCCACTGATCGGCTTGTTAGCCGCTTGGGCGATCGGTCACGTCTCTTTTCATTTAAATTCTTCACCAAAAGATAGGCTCGCTAGCCGCCCGGGCGATCGGTCACGTCTCTGTCACGCACTGTTAGCAAATACTGGGCATGCACCGGCTCCTGGATGTACCTGAACCTGCTCCAGTGTTGGTCAAGTCTTCTCTTGAAAGAGCTCACACTCGGTGCCGTCACAACACTCTCTGGTAGATTGTTCCAAGAGTTTACAACCCTCTCTCCGAAAAAGTTTGCCCTCAATGTTTTCTGGACTTGCGGCTTCTTCAATATTGAGCTGTGACCCCTTGTGGGGCGAGCGTCCGCCAGCTCCAAGTAAGGACACTCAACTGAGTAGTGCCCCCTGAGATGCTTATACACCTCAACTAGGTCCCCCCTTGCCCGTCTGTAGTATAAGCTAGGCAAGTTCAGGCGCTCCAATCTCTCAGGGTAGCTGAGGTGCCGAAGTGCAGGCACCAGTTTGGTGGCCCTCCTTTGAACATTTTCAACCAACTGACAGTCCCTAGCATATCTCGGGGACCAGATGGGGTGACAGTACTCCAGATGGGGAAGCACTTCACTCCTGAAGATCGTCACGAGGGACGGACCGTCTAGATATCTGAACGACCTTCTTATAAGACCCAATAATTTATTTGCCTGATTTACCTTCTTCTCACAATGGCCCGAGAACTTCAGCTCATTGTCAACATACACACCTAGGTCCTTCTCACACACAGTCTCAACTAGTGCAGTTTCTTCATCCCGTTGGGACATATGATACGCCTCCTTACCGTTGGTACGCCCCAGGTGCATCCTCTTACACTTCGTGACATTGAATCACGGCAGCCATTTCTTCGACCCTTCTTGGAGCCCACAGAGGTCCTTCTGCAACTCTTCACAGTCCGCTTGGTTCCTGATTTCCCGAAATAACTTGGCGTCATCGGCAAACATTTGTTTGGAGGAGTGTACAACGTCAGGCATGTCATTTATGAAACAAACAAACAACAGCGGGCCCAATACACTGCCATGTGGTACCCCACTTGTGACAGGTACGGATGACGAT